ACATGGTACAGAGCAATGGGCAAGAGCGAGCAGGACAGCGCGAGAGCGAACGAAAGGAACTTGGCATAAATGGCATGTTCGACGCTGAGTTTAGCGTCTATGGCTTGATGGCGCGCTTGGTGTGTTTCCCTGCACGACGGCGCTCATTGTATGGCGTCGGACGCCTCCATAACTCGTCGTCGTCGACATCCTGGGCGTGTCCGGATGTGGGCGGGCCAACAGGAGCTGCCGGCATCTGCGCACAACTCAGCAAACGCGGATGGGTACGAGCGGCACAACCTAGCGCACATGGGATGGGTAGGGGTGGATAGGCGCTTGTGGAGGCGCCCAGTTGCGCGAGGGCATGCTTGCCGGCGCAGGCATGTTGGCCGTCGACGGCGACGGACGCGGCGCGAATTCGGCATCAAGGCGGATGCGAATTTGTTCGCGACCAGCCTGAGCAAAGAAAGCGCGCTCCTGGCGGTGGAAATAATAGCTGGTTGGTCCACCCTTGAGCTCAGAGAACTGGCTCGGCGGCGGCGGCGGGAACAGCCGCATGAGATCGTGACCTGTCGGCGGCGGAGGGTATGCTCTAGGCGCTGCGTTCATGGGTGTCCCATGCTGACCCTGTGGCAGCTTTACATCCGGAACGTGGACGTTATGTCCATTGGTACGACCAGAGGGAGCGCCGCCGTAGGATGAGCCCGACGAGGATGACGACGGCGACGGGCTGGGAGGCGGGCCGTAGTGAGCAGGATGGCGAGTAGGAGAGGTAGTGTCGCGCATGTCGACAGGGCGAAGCGTGAACTGGTGCACTGCGGCCATGGTGTGTGCGTGTCTACCTTGCTGCACATGGACGTTCGAGGCAAGATTCCCGGTGCGTGCAGAAGGCACTCTGACCGTGACCATCGCCACTTCTCGTCATCGCCTGGCCCCTACACCGGTCCCTAGCGAGTGGTGGACTCGGACCCTTCAGTGAAGGTCGGGGAAGCAGATCTCTGACCATAACTAGAGGGGCTTCCGTCATAAACTATAGGCAGGGAAGGCGCTGGACCCGCTAACGGGCGGAATTCCCGCTCCCAGCTGAATGCTCCTTACTTCGGCCGCCTCGATCAACGGATGATACAGTACGTTTCTGTCCATCTACTCATTGATATGTACCGTTTGGCAGGGCCCCTTCGTCCAACACACAGAGACTCGGAGATGAGGTCAAGCTCTGCTCTCTTACACTTGTATATTAGATCTTTGCGCAATCCCCGCCGTTCCCCTGGCATGCCCAAGTCTATCCCTATATGCTCGCTCTTTCTTCTACCCACTCACTCCATTTCCCCCTTCCATGTCACTTGATAAAGATGCAGGTACTCGACCATTAGGACCTTGACAATGCGGACTTTGCTTCGTTCACCAGGCGCTGGCTATCGCGGGTAGCCTACGCTCCCGTCAATTGCTCCGATGGTGATACTCGAATGCGCGCCGCTCGCGCTTGCGAGACAGTCGATGCACAAGCACAGCTTCAGTGAACGACGGAACAATGTTCCTATTGTTGGTGCCATTGCTCAGGCGCTCGGGACCGAAGCCGCACCACCGCGAGTCGTTCAGGTGACGTAGAGCTCATACGCTCTCCCGAACCTCGCCACTGACTCCCTGCGTGGTTAGATCTATGGATTACTTGCTATGCTTGGACAAGCTCTTGACAGTTGGGTCCCGATTCCTCGAACGAGCGCTTGGCAGGCGCCCTTGCCCTTTTCTCAAATACCCACGCAATCGCTGTGACAGAACGACTAATGCAATTGATGTATCTAATGTGCACCGAAGAATGAAAACTACTACTACGATGCAGTTCTCCGAAGTCATAGTGTCAATCCTACAGTCACATTAGAACATGCAATACATGTCTTGTCAAGCGACATACCCTGCATAAAGACAGCACAGCAACGTATTCCGGGAGGCGTTGGCCGATCGGGTTTGTGTCTTCCTCGATGAGGAACAGAGTCTGCACCTCTTCCGACTGTTCGCCCTCACCAGACGGGAGCTTTGCCATCTTGTATACTAGTCCAGCAAAGTGCGCCACGACGTCGTCCGCCCGGAGAACAATCCTATCCTTTGAGAGCCGATTGCGATATGAGCGTGCATTGAATCCGTCAAATGCCCGGAACGGATCGCGAGTCACCTCTACCGATGAGAGGGGTTCGAAGGGGTGGAAGATGACGAACGTCTCGGTTACCTTTGCTCCCGTTGATTCTGTGCGAGTGTGCTCGAAGATTGCAGTGATTCTCCCCGCAGTTTCTCCGTACGCATCAACCGAAGGAGAGACGGAAGCTATGACGTCGCAATCGGTTCGAGAGCTCGCGGAATCCGAGAATTTGGTTTTCTTGAGTGTAAAGCTTGAGAGCATAGTGACATCGCGCGTGAGTTGGATGCGATTTGGAGCGGTCGCGGCTGAGTACGGACTCTGAGTTTGAGATGCATTGAGGCGATAGGCGAGAAGCGCGGTATCCTCAAACGTGAGTTTAGCATGACGCTTATGAACGGCTGCAGGTTTGCTCTCGCCCGACGCAACAGCGTCTCCCGGGAAAAACCGGTTGAAAAGGTTTACGAATAACAGTACCAACTTGGCATCGGTGAGGTTTTCCATCATGACGCGCAGATTACAAGCACTGGTGAACGCGTTGAAGAAGGTCGTCTCGAGCTCCCCTGTATTAGCATGAGCGTAATATCGAATGGCTTGAGAGATGAAGACTGGCCTATTTTGCCGTTTGTCGCGTGCCTTCGAATGATGCCGATGTAACGCTCGAAGGGAAATGTCCACCAACTGTGCACTGGCCCAAAGAGCTCCAAGATCTCAGGGATGTGAAAACTCAGATGTAGATTGGCGGGGACAGGATAGTTCGGAATTGTGTGCACGAGGCCCCGCGCGTACTTTTGCAGATGCTCCAAGTAGCTCATGCGCCTATCATTGGAAGTCGTGCGCATGGTCGCAAGATTGACAGCTACAACCAGATGGAGGAAGTTGTCTAAGAGGATGGCGTGAAAACGTGTATGGCGTCTCCCGCCTTTGCCCCAGAGAAGGATGAGTGCAAGGGGGAGCAGTATCGTTCCAATGGTGCGCCAGCTGTCAGCTTTGATGGTGCCAATGCCCGGTTTTCCAAAGTACTGCTGTCCACGGTTGAGCCATGTAGGCAACGATATACGAGACGTTACGGGCCAGATGGCCTCGAGCTCCTCGTTATCCAGGATGCGCAGACCAGAGTCCGCCGGTAGATCATCACCCTCGAAGACATGCACAGCGTAGTCTCGCGGTTCTGGTTGCCGGACATGTACTTCATCAGCAGTACCAGCGGACTGTATCACCAGCCAGCCTATCATGACGGTTGCAATCTCGCGCTTACTCCCTCCGCTTGGGACAGCGATCTTGTTCGCGTGCGCGACGGCGAGCAGATAGTCCTTCCTCGTATGCCTCCCCATGAGATACTCTCCATCGCGCCGCTTCCAAGCTGCGACAATATTGGTGAGCATCTCCCGCTGTTGCTCTGGACTATGCGATAGCCTTTGAGCCTTAGGTACCGCGTCATCCCTAGGTTTGATCCACCGCATCCCCCAAGCTTTCTCTAGGTGCCTCGCGATATCTCCGAGAAAGAGGTTATGCATGGCGTCGACGATAGCGTACACTGTCGGGTTCCAATACGGTAGACGCAGGAGTTCAGACCAGCGTATACCGGTCACTTGCGCCAGTGCCTCCTGGGCCTCGGGCGTAGGGGCATCTCGCCAAGCCGCCGCATGCTCCAAGTGTTCAGCCCAGCTTCGGCGGGGCCAACGTTCGTAGTCAAAGTTACTGAGGTCTTCGGAAGAGATAGCGCAGACGCTACATGGCGATACCCCAGAGCTGAAAGACAACGTGCCCTGGGCTTTCCTGATGGCGGGAGTGTCCGCGATGAGGGGAAGAAGAGCCGCGCGTACGAGTACCTCTGTAGCAGTGGCCGTACGACTGAGGATCACTCCTGGATTCCATAAGGCGAGCAAGTCGTCAATCACAGGGCGAAGGTAGTGATTGAGAGCTTGAAGCGCAGGCTCCTTCGGACCCGGGATAACGGCGACGAGACACATGTTTTCGACACGGTAACGCAACTCAGGGGGTAGGTTGAAGCATACGATGTATAGGACTCCTGAGGAGTGACCGCGACTGGAACGCTTTCCGAAAGCGTTGAACCAGTCAACGAAGAGACCAAACGCAAGATGATACTCTCCAGCATCCAAAGCGGCTCGGAAGAACGGTCTTCCCTTCTCATCAAGGAATTCCCTCGGCGCGGAGGCGTGCCAGAAGTCGTGTTCCATACCAGACAAGCTGGCGCTCGCGTGCGTGATAAGACTATTCACGATCTTCGGCCTGGAGAGAAGCCTGCCAACCCACGTACTTGGGGACTGAACCCTGTAGGGTGATAGTGGAGTGACCAGGGCATTGACGTTGGAGATGGAGTGGCGAAATAGATGCCCTGTACATCCCCGGTAACCGCATATCTCTGCGAAATCGCGCCCGCCAGGGTCAGCTGTGTGTAGAGCATGGCAATGCTGACAATGCGCCCACTCGACGAATTCCGGTAGGAGATTGAACCTCTTGAGCACAGTACGTATGTCCACGCTCCAGTCTCCCAAGACGGTGCCGGCGATGTTCGAGCAATCGATCCCACGAGTAACGCAGAACCCCGTGACGCATTCCACCATGATAAGCCCGATAGCTTCGAGGAGGAAGTGAGACGCGTCGCGCGTAACGCCACGAAAGTAGTAGACTGCGATGACGGACAGCATGCCCATCAAATGAGACGCGGATAGCCCAGACAAGTCGAAGAAACATGATGCTACGGCTCATTTAATGAAAGAAGGTACAGCGCGAGCGTTTGACTCACACGTGTCAATTCTCAACATTTTGGCCTGGTGATAGAGTCGCATCTGTAGCTGGTGCGCACACCACTGCTCGTTCGCAACGCGGTCATGCCGTCGATTCAGAGTCTCGGCTAAATCCAACGTCGTCTGCTTGAGCTCGGTGGCAGCACGGGCAAAGGATGGGACGGGGTAGTCCTTGAGAGTTTTGAGTAGATTCGCCGTCTCATTCTTGGAGCTTAGGAAGCCGTGGTTGTCGGGTCCGTCACGATGCCGCAACCTCCGCCAGGGACTATCGTCACCAGGGAGTCCGAGGGTTCCAGAAAAGACAAGGTTGGGTTCCTTCCACGAGCGTTCCAAAGCGCGCAGCCGATGGAGATACTCTTCAAGCTGGAGTTGTACTTCGTGTGTCACTTGCGCGGTTCCTGCAATGCATATTAAGAAGTCATATGACATCTGAGATAAGAACAAGACCCGCCATTCCGTTGTTCATACTGATGCTCATGCGCCCGACCTTCAACTATGTTCAGTCAACCTGAGGCGGAAGAATGGGAGGCTTCACGACCACCAAACTCACCAACGTCGCTTTCGGGAATCAGTATCCCACCCCGGCCATGGATCAGATCGTCTGGTGATCCATATGAGCACAATGCCGGAGTGGTAGCGACAAAACGTACCTTGCACACGACGCGAAGCATTTGCTTGCGGGGCGGCGTCAGCGGGTGTGCTGTAATCTAGTACGCATGATAAGTAAATATGGCGTCAATATTCTCATATGAGTTACCTCCGGGGTCGTCGCTTCGAGTGCGGACATCATCGGTCATAGTCGACCCTGTAGATCGGTTCAGTCACATCTTTAACCTGAAATCAGAGCCTTCTACCATTCATAGGGTCCTCACTCATAGGAATATCCTCCAAAGTTCTATGGATAATTGCATCCTCTGCCTGTTCGCGTGCAGCGCGTGCTAAGTCTCGATGATGCCTTTTCAAACTAGCGTAGTTGAAGTAGACGCCACAGACACGCTTCTTGGTTTCCAAGTGAAACGCCTTGTGCTTAGAACACGAAGAGCAGGAGCATAAGTAGAGTCTCTCCGACCGCGCCCCGGGCACTCGTGGCATATTGCCCGCGTTTGAGCGCTTGAAGATTACGCAGCCTGGGCAGACTTTGGACTGGGAAGGAAGCGTAGGCAGTGACGGCGGCCGCGGTCCTGACGATTGGGCTTCGCTTTTCAATCCCCTCTGAGATCGCAGGGCGCGGCGTTCACCGACGAGTACCAATGAGGGCACATACAGTATCCTCCCTCTCAATTTCTGTGTCTTCGCATGAGACGCGCGAGTACGCGCACATTGCCGGACGAGCGAGTACGCGCGCATTGCCGCTCTCCGTGGTCACAGAGTAGCCATTCAACGTCACTCATCGTGTGGATGATGAGCAAGAAACACTGACTGTACACGGCGATCGTATATGCGCTCGGGCAAACGCTGGGACATAAGCGTGGCTCTTTGCAGAGGATTGATGGTGGTCGGGCGCATCCGCTCCATCCTTCGCCCACCGCACGCGCGGATTGCCGAACGCATTCCCTCGGCGCGGATCCTGTTCCGCACCCTTGCTTTCGGCTTTCACCTGTCTTTGCGCTTGCTTCGACATGATGGACATGTGCTTACAACGCTATATAACCGTCGGCGCTTTCGCTACTTCTGGAGACCACAGGCGCTTGCTACGCACTCTCAAGCGAACCACTTGTCCGGATTGGCGATAACTCGTCGCGACGCATCAATAGGTCTGTCTCATTGACTTTACGCATACTTGACCCGAAATACTAAATACGGCGACAGGTGAGAATGACCCTGCTTGATGATTGAGCTGGAATCGACCTAGGACGTAGAACCGCCTCCAATGCTGAGAGGTTTCGGATGGCCCACCATTCCCGACATAGCGGGCATGATTGGTTACTGTACGCGTCCAGATGCCTTTGCTGCATCGAGTGACGGAGCGAATGCATCCTTCGCCACGCTCATGGATAGGAGTGGTCCTTCTATATGTCCATCTTTTGGTACGTCCTCAGTTCATCTCAATCTCGGCCTCTCTCAAGAAACTTCAGCAGACGCACCGGTCAAGGACGACTCTGTCGAGTCACAGCCACACGTCGCCCCGCAAGTAGAGACCGAGCTTCTTGAGGGTCCTGCCAACGAGATCGAAAACACCCCTTCGACTGAGATCCTCGACCTACCGGACTTGTCCGAGCATCCCCTCTACGGTCATTTTTTAGTAAGTCCCGTCGTCAGTTGACTAGCAGCGAGAATACTCATGGATGCAAGGCATGCATTCGCAGACATCTTCTTCTGCTTCTTGAAGTGAAGAGCTTACAGGCTCTTGATCCCTCGTCCCCTCACTGTCGCCCTTTGACCGCAGAAGAGCTGGACGCCTATCTCAAAGGTCTACCGGGTTGTGTTCAGATCACGGAACAATGCTTTCGTGTCGACTTCCAACTTCGGCGCTCGCATCCCTTCAATATGAATGCCCTTGACGTTTTCACGACCTCGTTCTTGAAGTCCGTCAGCTCCGGAGCATACGCTGACCCAGCTCCATTGCCGCCTCAATTTCTTCAAAGGCGTCGGGTTACATTGGCTATCTACAACCATACAAAGTCGGCAAAGTTAGTATGGTACCGGAAGTTTACCTTCCCCGAAACTGCAGAAGATGTCGACGATCGCCTGGCGGCAGCTGCTCGGAACACCAGAAAGCGACGTGTGAGTCCCATTTCGGAAGGAGCCAGGCCGTCATTCACGTCATCTTAGCTATACACGAGAAGGATGAACGCTGTGCGAAGAAATGCTCCTGGTCATCTTGCGCTCATGGCCTCTGCGGGCGTACAGGCGGTTAGCTCTGATGAATCATCAGACGAGCTGGAAGAAGGCCCCTTGGGACAGATGCAGGACAAGACCATCCGAATCTCCCCTATCTGGCGAAGCATGGCGTTTCAGGACTGGCAGCGATCGCTTGACGCGATCGTCAAGTACCTCAGTGAGCCTCGTTCAGGTATGCGGCAGAGGTCTGGTACAAACGCCCGTTACCGTCAGCCATCTAACAGAGTCAACACGTGCGCCATTGCTCCACGCGGACTGCCGCGCAACTGTTACGATGCGGTGGGTGTTTTGTATATACTACTTTTATGCTTGCTGATTCAACTCAGGCCTGGCTGGCGGCACTCGACTCGCAGGAGAAGGAGAGACTACAGGCACACGATGAAGACTACGATCTCACGCCATTGGGATGCCCTTCGTACTACCATCCCCTGCACCGTAGGGCCAGGCAACGTCCGCACTCAAATAGGTTACGAGTCTCGATTGTATGATACTTTCGCGCTTCTGGGTTCGGTCTGTCAAAAACTGTATATCCCGATTGCTACCAAGACTACACGTCACTACATACTGTACGAAATTGTGATTTTTGCCAAGCATCAGAGATTGGACGATGAAGGGATGTCGGGGCGCCTGGGGCCCCTCGAAGCTCGTAGTGTAGATCGAAGATAGACCTTCTGAGTCGTGTAGTAATGAAGCGAATGGTCGTTTTAGGCGTGATAGCCCTAGACGTAGTGTATAGAAAGCATTTTCCCGCGCTTGCAAGAGCTCAGAACTCGTATTTCTCAGTTACCGACGCTTGATGTCTCGATCTTTCCCGGCTCAGGCTGGAAATACAGGCACCGACCCCGCCGTACATCGTTCTTCAGGCAGGACCACGTCCGCTGCACAAGTATTCATGGGTGTACCTTGTGAACACTGTCAAATCGGCTTGGCCACGCTGAGCGCGTGAGAAGGCCGCTACTATGCGCACCCTCCACATCCTCCGCGCGCATGTCGACGTCGGATTATTCCTTATCCCTCAATATCACTTCGCCTCTGTCAACGTCTGCAGACTTTCTCATCTGCTCGTGCCACATCGTTCTTGACTCTCTCTCTGCCGGGCCTCGGAGCCATGCATCGGCGCCCCACTTGAATCCGCACTTCGGCATCAGGCACCTCATCCGAGATCGGCCACTCACACTTGCGTTCGCAACAATCGCGCCGAGGGTAATAGGACATTGGTGGGATCCTTCCAGTCGCTACGATACAGTCTCGCTTCTACTCTACATGTCCCTGTATCCCTCCTTCTCGTTCCCACTTTCCGGTGGCGATATCGATGTGCTGCCCGATTTCTCACCCTTTCTACCTGCTGATTCCGGCTGGTAGACGTGCGCTAGCTTGAGTGACCCTCATACGCTCTGTTGGTGTGCAGGGATGCCAGGACGTATTTATCATGCTAAACCTCCGGCGCGGGTCGCGTTCAGCTGGTAGCGTCGTTAGACTACCCCTTTGTCATCAGCTTCGTGTGGATACGACTGTCTCGAAACTTCGCCGGAGAAGCACTAACGTTGCCGCTAGCATGTCATTCGAGCAAGATCTTCAACGTCGTCAAATGAGTTGTTGTCTGTCGTCTACTGTGATCTACTCGCGTAAATGCTCCGAAATAACGTCCTTTGACCCCTGTGACGGCGCTTGCATAATCGCGTTTGCTCAACCTTCCATCCCATCATTCGAGGCTGCTACTGTAATTCCCTGCCGCGGCAGAATACGGACTTTGGACGATCCACCCATTTGCGCACAGAATAGAGCTTGTTCCATGACGGCGCTGACGGCCATCTGGGGTGATTTCGAACAATGCTTGCATGCACAAGTCCCTGGAATCGCACCGCGCATAAGCCACACCGCATGCGCAGCGAACTCGGCCGGCGACGCAAAACGGGATTTCCCGCCTTTCGAGGGAATAAGATCAACAGTGCATGTCTGGTGTATATGAAACGCACCATAGAGATATACATCTGTACGTTGTGACGTCAGATTACTGGCCCGCTGGCTGCTTCGAGTGCGCTGAACTAGAACATAATGCGTTGGAAATGCGCCGATGGACCATTCAAACTCGGGTATGCGTGATTGATCTACTTTATCGGTAAGTTGGAACGGTATAATGATGGCTTGTTGTAGACACAGACTCTTTCCTGCCTTCTCAAAGAATGCACCACAAAGGAGCTTGCCGATACCCTGACGCCAGGCGATACTCGTTGGGCTGCCCCACGAGAGAATTTCGTACCCACGATCATGGGGCGGGCGCCTCGATGGAAGACCGTCAGATGTCTTGATGAACACGGTGTTGCGCTGTACCAGGTAGTGCGCCGACTCGCCGGAGTAGAAGGACATATTGTCTTCGGTGTAGAAAAGAGAGAGAGGCTCCGGGGAGAGTGACAACAGGTCGCGACGTGCTCTGTCATCGAGAGTCGTCTTCGCAGAGCATACACACCCGTAAGATACAGACGACCCAGAACTACCGTATGACGTAGCAGACAGGTTTGTGGGCACGTCGATAGTGGCTGTCGAAGGGAGCTCTAGATATCTCTGAACTGTGGCAGCGATCAGCTTGGGCGCTCTCGGAAAGGCACCACCGGTAATGCTCACAAGCGAGACGATCAAACGAATCCTGGCTATCTCTCTGCTGAAACAGGAAAAACATTATAGCTAGCTGGAGAAGTTCCCACAACCACGGAAGCGTCATCACAAGCAGCTCCCCGTTCGAGGTGGTCCAGGTCGGTGTCGCCGTACTCTGCGCAATTAGAAAGATCGAGGCATCGAAGGGAGGTGTAAATATACCTTGGATAATAGAGATAAAGTTATCGAGACCAGCGCCGACGTTCTATTGATGTACTCGCTAGCTCCATGTGTGAGTATGATTTTGTGTAGTATACAGGCAAACTCACGCGGTCACAGCTCTCGCCTGTGGGAGCAAGGAGCA